CCCCGGAGGGACACACTCGGGGTCCGAGGACACGGGGCAGGGACACAGGGTGGCGGGGGGGGAGCTCGGCCCCCAGCCTCTCTCCCTGTGGTGTCCAGTAGTGAAAAGTAACACGATGAGCTTCTAACTGCTCGCTGTGTTTTGCTGCAGTGAAACCCACTCCTATGAATTCTTTGTGGAGAAGGTGAAAATGTTGGGTTTTTACTAATGATAGGTAGGTAGGTCTCTGACTGCTTCCAATGTTTATGCATCATGAACCATTTGGGTTTGCTGTTGCCAAAAAAAAAAATAATAATTTCTAATACAGGGTTTAAGTCCCACTCATGCCTGTGGCTTTTGTAAGAGCTTGGGGCCTTGCACTGCATTGAATGGAAACGAACCCTCGTCAAAGAACTCTTTGAATTGTCACTGAGTTTTTTTAATTGTGTAGAAATAGAGCCAACATGTTAATATTAGAGCAATTATATTATCATTGAGAAGTTTATGCCTAACTAAACTACAACAAATGTCACAGTCCTTTAGTTTTCTGTTATTCAGTCTGCTGTGACCAATTTGAGCTGCTTTTTAGAGTGGGGGGACTAAGCTGATTCATAAATGTATTTAAGAAGGCTGATGTGGTGTCCTTCCGTCCTGCAGTATGAGATGTACACGATTGAGAGGAATGCTGAACGGACAGCGTCTGCGGGCAGGCTGCTCTACGACATGTGAGTAACCAGAGCTGGGGCTCTGCAGTGAGGCCAGGTGCCTGCTTCCATAAATGTCAGAGCTTCCAGAAATATAATGTGAGTGTTCTTGGAAATCCATGTCCATAAATTAAACAGAAAAAGCCTTATTAATTAAAAATAAACAGTAGAAGGAAGGTCTAATTTTCCATGCACATTATTTCATAGGAAAATTTTGTCTTGGAAACAGATTTTGAGATCACTGTGCATTCCTTGCCTCAAAACTTTATTACAGGTTTGTGAATTTTCCGGACCAACCTGCTGTATGGAGGGAGATTAGTGTTATTACATCAGCGTTAAGGAATGACTCTCAGGACAAGCAGACACAGTTTTTAAGAGGTAAGGAATTCATGAATGGGGACAGTCCTGAAGGAAGCAAAAGATAAGATTCTGGTTATGTATCTAGTGTAGGAAGTAAATGTCAGTCTTTTTAACTTCGCTTGTGTGCTGCGGATTTTTTTTGCTCTCTTCAGCCTTAGAGACTTAGGAGACACAGACGGGCATGAGACATTGATTTGTCTCTGGTATGAGTAGACTAAGTCTGCCAGAACAGCAAGCATTTGGAAAAGAGATTGTATAGGGAATAAGTGGAATGGGACTTGGGGATCATTTTCCCACTGATTGCAGAGAAAAATTATTATAAAAATGATCATAAAAATGGGGTGAATACGTACATATGAGGTGAGGGCTGTAAAAATGAGCAGTGACCAGGAGGGCTTGGCACTCACTGCTAGCAACCACAGGCAGTTTTGGAAGCAGGATTTACACCTGGCAAATTCCAGTCTGCTGCCTGAATATGTGCTTCAGAAGCTCTAAGGACAAGCAGTGTGTAACTCGGCATACAGGCTACTCCTGGTAAGGATACACTGTCTTTTTCATAAGGGGTCTTTAATTTTCAGAGAAAATGTGTGAAACTTACAGGGAGAATATGTTGATTTCTCTTTAGTGTCTCGTTGGAAGATTAGATTAAAAAACCTAGCTTTGAATGATGAAAGCATTAATTATAGAAATGGAACGAAAGCAAAGCAATAAATGAGCATTCTTGAGAAAGCATCTTAAACTGTGAAATATTTAAGTTTTAGGATTTTCAGTGTTCCACTCAATAGCAGTCTTAGTTATTGATTCAAGTTCTATGTACCCGAGTAAACACAGATAAATATTCTTATGGTCTTCTTTGAAAGAAAGAGATGTTTTTTTCCAAGTGTAGATATTAAAGCACAAAAAAGTATAACAAAATGTCTTTCACTTGGCAAGGTGATGTTGACTCACCTTTTACCCTCTGTCAGTCACCTCTACAATTCAGACATGGCAAGTTAAACATTTAACCTTCTTTTTTTTTGAGGGCTATTTGAAACCCTTCCTGGTCGGGTGCAGTGTGAAATGCTGCTGAAGGCCACAGAGCAGTGCTTCAACACGCTAGAACGGGCCGAGATGCTGCTGCTGCTGCTGCGGCGCTTCCCAGAGACCGTGGTGCAGCACGGGGTAAGAAAGGAGAACCTCACCCTGGCTATTCAGGATATTGGCATTCTGTTCCTCATGGAGGTTTTGTTGAAATGTTTTTGTCTTTGCCTAGTGAGAGGGTGAGTGGTTTTGTTTGTGTTTAATTGTGGTTAAGAGTTCAGATTGTGATATCCTGAGGTTACCACCAGGAAAGAGTTGGGCAGAAAACAAATGGAAGCAAATCAAACATTTTGTTTTGCTTTGTAAATGCAGAGAATAGACTGTGCTTTTTGAAAAAGCAAAAGAGGACAAAATAGAGTGTAGAGGAGTATAAAGTGTTAAGATAGACTATTGCTTGAGCTTTTTTTCAGTAAACTCTAACAAGCAGCATGTTTGCTTTGATACAAAACTACAACTGAAGCTCTTTAATTTTAAAATAGTTCTTGTCCTATTTTATTTAAGGAAAGTTTAAGGATAATTTAAAGATAGTTTAAAAACTATAAAACCTGATATTTCTAAGGCTGGCTTACACTACCATGTTACAGCTTGTTCTAGCATCAGGCAGAGTGCACAGGCAGTTACTACAGTCAGGTGACAAGCTGCAGTGTTAAGGCTGATATCTCCATCACTTTCACCTCTCTGTGCATGTATAGGAGTCACATGCACAGTTTTTCTCTTGGTCTTCTTTTGCTATCTTCTGGCATTGCTTTTCACCTATTGTTAAGCAGGGGTAGTTTAAGTATATGTTTAGAGACTAGCACATGCAATAGCCATATAGTGAATTGCTGCTCGTCCATCCACTAAATTATTGTTTAACTTCATTGAATTGCAGTTCAAAAAGTTTCTAAAGCTACTGTGTTTGATTTTCACCTCTGATTACACAGGTAGGCCTTGGAGAAACACTATTAGATGCTGAAAATATTGAAGACCAAGAATCTCCAGTGAATTGTTTTAGAAAATTATTTGGTAAGAAAATATAAATGTGCTTGTATTTTTATTCAGCTTTTTAGCATGGCAAGATTCTGAGTTCAGTCAGGATACTGAGATGAGAAAACTGCTTTGGTCAGAAGAGGCCCAGGCCCCATGAGTCCAGGCTGACCGCAGGGCACAGCTTGGTCTTGAAGGCACTCACGTGGAGGTCTTTGTGATTCTTTGTGGTGTGTGGTCAGCCAGAGATGGAGGCTTACATTGCTGACTGAGAAACTTTACTTTGAACAAAAAAACCCCCAGAAACATAAAGGATTTTTTAATTTTTGTTTTCCATTTTAGTTTGTGATGTTCTTCCTCTAATAATTAACAACCCTGATGTTCGACTTCCTGCCAGCTTGTTGTATAAATACCTGAATAAAGCAGCAGAATTCTATATTAACTATGTAACTAGATCTGCACAGACAGAAAGCCAATATCAAGGTAAGAACATTTTTACAAAATGAACCTTCCTTAGAATGTATTTTAGTATTACTGAGGTGATGTCCATAAATGAAGAATGCATTGCTTTTCGGTAATGTATCCTGTAAACAAAAGTTAATAGTAATATTTGATGTTTCTTAGTTCTTTGATGTCAAGATGCCTCATGATGCTTCAACATATGTGCTGAGAGGTAGGACAGAATGTCCAAGATATCTTTATCCACTCTATCAGCTTTCTTATACAAGGAGGGAGAAGCCTACTGCTCTCTGTTAGACTTCTCAATAAAGAATGGTTACCTTGAAAGCTCCAGTGTACATTTTTACACGTTCCCCTGAAAATAAATCAGCTGGTTTGATTTCTTTATGAAGAGACAGATGTGCTGTTTTTCCTAGGTTCACAAGATTCCACTGATATTATGTCTCCAAGCAAGCGTAGCTCTCAGAAATACGTCATAGATGGTCTGACAGAGAAATCATCCCAGATTACAGATCCTTGGGAGAGGCTATTTAAAATACTGTCTGTGGTGGGAATGAGGTGTGAATGGCAAATGGACAAGGGAAGAAGGTGAGAAATGTGTACTTTTCCAGGTATTTCTTCTCAAGGAGAATTTGGCTCTTTAATTCTCCAGGAGACTGACTTTAGCATGAGGATCTTTTGTGTAGATGCAGTGCAGCTTTTAAGAGTGTACGATGTAAAGCAAAAATATGGATCCAGGGATCGCTTTCAAATTACTCAGTAAACTAAATGTTTGTTGATGAAAGTCGTGCATAAGAACAGCAATCCTGAGGGGATACCCGAGGTGCCCCAGCAAAGAGAAGAATGGTAGATGTTTAGTCCAGTTTCTCTGGCATGCATTCCCAGCCTCCACTAACTTGCAGCTGGGAGATCTCATCCACCAAAACATTACGTTTTTCATATTCATTATGCATTCACACCTTTAGTTTCGGAGTCTGTGTAACATCCTTAATTCTTTTTGTCTCTCTTCCTCAGAAGTTTTGGTGATATTTTGCACCGAATGAAAGACCTCTGCAGATACATCAGTAACTTTGATAGTGATGCACATGTTAAATATAAGAATCAAGTAGTGTATTCCACGATGTTGGTCTTCTTCAAAAATGCATTCCAGTACGTCAGCAACATCCAGCCATCACTCTTTCAAGGTTAGTTCCTAATATTTCAATTTTTTTTTTTTCCTAAAGAGTTCTTTGTGGTTTCATTGATAATGTCTGAAAGATCTTTTCTCATTAGTCTTTTGAAACTGTCATCTTACAAGGTGATCTGGGTCTTTTTAAAAATTCTCTCAAGACCTGCTTCTGCTGGTAAGAACTTAGCATCATAGTTTCGACTTTGGCCAGAAGCAGTTGCCTAGCAAAGAGAAAAATAACAGACCAGACATTACGAGAGAGATTTCTGGGGCTTTTTTTAATTTTTCACAAATTTCAAGATTTTTCCATCGGCATCATGTTTGTTTCATTTCCTCCTCTGACTCTGTTTCTCTGAAGCTGATGTTTCCCTGGCTTCCTTCAGACAGAAAGATTGCACAGAAAGCTTCCACAAAATAAATGAAGATATATTGGCATTAGGAAAGCACAACAAATTTATAATTAATCAAATAAAACATGAATAGGAAGAGATTTTTCTGAAATCCACAAGCTTCCAACTTGGCTTTCTTTGTAGAGTTGAAGCCAAATCTTTAAGGTGTGCTTTGCACATTAATTCTAATTTGTAATTAATTTCTAAATGGGACATTTGAAATATGAATGTTACCTGTGCTTTTTCCTACACACAAGTCTGCATTTGGGACATATCAGATTGCTTGGACACCTTGAATTGATTTTTCAGGGATTGATGGGACTTTCCAGGGATGGCCTAGAAGCTGAGAGAAGTTCTTTAACCTTCAGTTTGTTTAGAATTTACTGAAATAAAACAGCATCACAAAGAGGAATATTTCAGCTCTGAATAGCGTGCATTTCCTGGTTCTTCACTCAAGGCTAGGGAATTCCTTGCGACAATAACTATTGTAACCATAGGTAATTACTACTTATTAGCAGTACAGTTAGTGACTCATGATAAAATTTCAATTTTAATTGCGTGTGTTGTGTTCATAAGTTTAATCACAATTTCCTCCATGGAGCAAATGATCATTTGAGTAATGAAACACTCAATACAAATTATGTGTTTTGAAGAACTTTCTGTAAAGTTAGATAGTCAGTTGAGCTCAAAAGACCTGTGAAATGGCAACTTGTATGCAAAGAATGTGTAGTCACTGTAACAAATACAGGAACTGATTAAGCTGAGTTTTTTGTTCTGCCCAGAGGAAAGCAGGGTTATGCTGGGGTGCTGAGATACTTTAGCTGTGCATATAGTTTTAGCTGCTTGAAGAAAAGAAGTAAAGCACTGGTGAAGATGTTCCTTTCTAAGTTGTACAGTTGAGTATGTTAAAGCTCATGTTTTCGGATCGAAACACCAGAAAAATAATGTATATGGAGATAGCAGAGTGAGAGTGCAGTCCCTTCAGTGCAGTGTTTCGGGTCATCTCTGTCATTTCCTGACATCAGGAAAATACTTCTGAGGTATCTTTTACTCACCTCTGCTTCAGCCAGTGGTATTCAGTGCCGTTCATGTCCTTTCTAGCATCAGTGTTTTTCCTCCTCTTTGGAAGGCTCCTTATAGAAATGTAGAATTCTGTGTATTCTGGAAGTATAGTGGTGGGGGAAAAAAAAGTCTCATCCTTAATTCAGTACCTCTGAGCATTGATCTGTGACTTTCTTCTCGTGTACATGGACTTGCAAGAAACCTCATGAGAGAAAATGTTTCAATGCATTTCTCTTACATAATTCATATCTGCCTTGCTGGAGACTTGAGAAATGAATGAGACAGGTCACATCTCTCATAACTTTCAGGCTGCCTGCAGGCTTGGCAGGAGCTGCTCTTTGGACTGATGCTTTTAGGGTGTTATTTATAACACTCTGTGCTATAAATCAATTTAAACCTCTGTAAGCTTAGATTCTGAAGCTCAGTTATACAGTAAGCCACAACATTGCTCTTTCTATGGCTGCGTAACTTTGAGTAATGCAAGAGAAGGTTTGCAGCCCAAGTCAAGGGTGAAGTTTGGTTTTGGTTTGGTTTAGGATGGGGGGTTTTAGAATAAAGGCTACAGTGTGCTTGCCTGCTACTGAGAAGAGAACATTTCTTAGGATAGCAAAGCACTTAACTGGTATTCATTCAAATCAGTATGAGGAAAAGAAAAAAACCCGCTCTTTTCTTCGTAGGTTAGATGTAGGCAGCTCTTGAGATTCCAGTGATAAAACTCTTGCAGCATCCCAGCTGTGGTACCCTAATCTGGTGAATGTTACTTTCTGCATGATGACTTGGCTCTCTTTCAGTTCACGTGAGCAGATTCCAACACACTGGAATACACGATGGTACAGGAGAGGTGATTTCAGCATCTTGTACCTTTGTGTAGGGGACATTTCAGTAGTGAATGTTTGAACTTAGTCAGAGGAGGTAACATCATTTGTTAAGCATGTTAGTTTGGCTGTTCTTGTAACGTTAACTTCTGTTGTAGTGGACTCCTTGCACATCATTTTTGTGTAGATGGAAAGAGCTTAATATAGGTTCTTCTATGTTAAGAAATGAAATGTATTGTCCTTACACTAAGCTCTCAAATTAGTTCTTTGCAATAATGAATGAGACCTAAGCTTCCTACCTCTCTGCAAATAGAAGAAATGCACATACTGAAAATACTTGTCCACACAATTGTCTTGTCAGAGGGAGATTTCAAAAAGGGAAAAGAAATTAATGGATTTCCCCTTTCCTTTATATTTCTCTTTGTCTGAGCTTTGCAGATCCATACACAACTTGATTGTGCAAAAGAAGAAAATGTTTTTAGAAGAAAAGCTTTTCAGTAGCAGCCATGTACCAATGTTATTTGAAATTAAGAAGTGTTGTTCCTAATTTATATCTAATGAAACTTAAGCACTGAGGTCTGAAATAACCGGCAGCAGATCCCACGACACCAATAGAAGTAGAAATTATATCTTCTGTGCTTCAAAATGAGGCTTCCTTAGAGGCTTTGGGGAGTGATGATGAGCACTGGCAGTCAATTAAAGGTTTCATTCTGTACACTGAAATTGCTGCAGGCAATGCTGACACTGAGTGATCCTGCTAGGGAAGTCTCCTGTTAAAATACACTCACTTTGTTGAGGTGTCAGTGCCTGTCAGCACATTGCTTGGGTTTCTCATGAGAATGTTTGAGAATATTGCTGTGCTTTGCCATGTTTGTGGCTGTTAACTTGAGAGCCATTTGTTCTGTTCACCTGCTGGATAGTTGTACTTGCATAAAAGCAAATAATGCTTGATGAGAGGACACATGCAGCCTGAGCAGATCTTGTGACTGCTATGTAAGAAAAGGATTCAGAAATTTTCTGAAGCTCTCAAGCAAAGTCTTATGACATCTGATAAATCTCTTCTGACCTTTACTGTAAGGCTGCCATTTCTTCACCAGCACGCTTTAAGCTTATGCAACTTAAGTGAACTAATTTCAGATTGTTTTCTTCAGCATTATATTCATTACTTGTGAAGGAAACAAAACCAGTTTGATGTAGGCATGAGACCTTTCACATCAGTTTAGAGCAATCTCAAATTAATTTATCTTTAAATGCAGGTCCAAATGCTCCGAACCAAACCCCGCTGGTTCTTCTGGAGGATGTGAGCAACATCTATGGTGATACAGATATTGATCGTAACAAACACATACACAAAAAGAGGAAACTTGCAGAAGGAAGAGAAAAACCAATGGTAACTTTTCTAGACTTTTTTGTTTGTAACAAGAATGGCATTGGTACTGGAATTTAGGCAATAGTGGTTTTGACACAGATATAATAGACATATTTTTAGAGCTACCCTGGCATAGCTGGTTATGACCACAATTTGCAAACAAATTTTATTTTTTTTGCTAAAGCCAGCAAGAACAAAATAATTTTTGGAGCAATTACTGTGAACAGATCTGGGCTGGTGTGGATACTTCACCTTGAAGGAGTTACACAGGAAGGGCAGAAGCTGATAAAAATGGTAGCTATAGCAATCAGAGGTTCTACAACTAAACCTCAAAAATAATTGACTTTTCATGACTGGAACTGTGAATACAGCTTTTTCTTTAATAGTAGAAAACCACTTTTATAGAGCTCTTTGCCGGCAGAAGTATGCACTTAACACAAAAATTACATTTCCTTTGCATTATGCCACTGTAGGCTTAGACAGAGCAATAGTGTAAAGTATGTGTGTACTTTAACAGATAATCTATGTGACTCTCAGGGGTGGTGTCCTGCCTTGAACAGAGTGAATTCTCTCAGGACACTGTTTATCACACTGTACCATTGAGCTTCTTGAGAGCAAACCGTATTGTTTTAATATCAAAAGGCGTTTAAAGGCACTTAAACTAGGCACTTGGCATTTCCACTACAAATTTTTTTTCTTGTGTTCAGTGGAACTTTTCTGACTTCAAAGTCCTTTGAAATAAGTTTAAACTAAGAAGTGAACCTTTTTGTTTCATACTGACTCTTAAGCAGAGCTCAGATGATGAGGATCCTTCTGGGAAGGCACGAAGTCGCCACATTACAGTAAACAAGGCAGATCTTGCAAACTCTGTTGAAGTACTGGAGAGCTTTAAGCTGGCAAGAGAGAGCTGGGAGCTGCTCTATTCTCTGGAATCACTCGACAAAGGTAAGGCTGACTACAGGCAGAGCTGTATTTAGGCTTCAGCGTGATTCATAAGAGTTATTTTACTATTGTTAAAACAGAATTCCTGTCATTGTGAGTCCTTCAAATTGAATTTACTTCAGTTGGGTCCTGTGTATTTTTGATCTAAAGCTTTATCAGTTGTTGTGTTTCTGAATATTTTGTTCCTGAATTTCCTTTTATTCTTCATGCACATTTGCTTATTCAGCCCCATTTCTCTTGGAAGCTGCTTTTCCTGAAGGAGCAGTTGGTTAGTAGTAGAGCTCGTAATACTCGGTGAGGATGTGCTGGAGATGTTTGCTTTGGTTCATGCTTAAGAAGATGTGTCTCTCCCTTTCTGATAACATCTGATGTGATAATTTTAAAACCAAATTTCTTTTTTAAAAAGCAGGCAAATAGTAGCACCTAGCTGCTTTTAGATTTGGTGGACGCTGTGAAGAGAATTATAAGCAAGATACAGTTGTATAGGAAGAAAGTATCCTGTATTTGAAAGATTTCACACTCTTACTGTTGTTTTGTTTTTTTTTTTTAATACAACTAATTTTTTTTCTAGCTAATTGATTTTTTAACCCAATGCTGTAAAATGCTTCCTTGTCTCTTTTTTCTTTTCTGCAGAGTTCACCAGAATTTGTTTGTCTTGGAAGACAGACACCTGGCTTTGGTTAAGAATCTTTCTTACAGACATGATCATCTACCAGGTAAAAAAAATAAAGTAAAAAACTAGTAAAAATTACACCATTATGTTGCTCCTCCTCCTACTGAATAGCTGTTCTGATTAGCCAGCTTGACTGCTTTAAGTGTCTACTGATTTTATCCTTTAAATCATGACCCTTCTGGAGCTAGAATCGTACCATTCTTGCCACGAGCTAAGCACCCTTCTTAGGATGTTCGTGTCCCAGTAGCTGCTTGTTGAGTCCAGCTGTTTTTGGCATATGGAAGAAGGCCTCTGCTTGGGCATCTTGACCAGTAAATATATATAGTGCTATGAAAGAACAGTGCATTTTATTCGTCTGCCAGTGCATTATATTAGAACACAATCAGAAGAATTTTCGAATAGCGGAAGATTTTAATATGTCTCAGTTAAAATTGATCGTTTTCCTCAGAAATTAGGCTGACTGTACTCATTCCAAATACCATCTATAGAACAAAGCTTGTTCTTTTATACTTTTCCTTTGGAGGTCTTTTGTTTTCACCTGTACTTGCACCTGAACAACACCTATTTCAAACTTTACTAGTCTAAATAAAGTAATGATTGATTCTGAAGAGCATGATTATTTGTTCCAGTTATAAATGGAATTTCGTAAACAGGTTTTTTAGAGCATCAGTTTGTGTTCTCACTGCCTTGCAATTGTTGGGTCCACACTCCTGTAAACAGCACATCACAGGACAGCGTTTGCTGTGTTAAAATGTTGAAGGCCTGTTACCTGGACACACTCTGTTTTGAAAGTTCTGTAAGGAAATTTTTATTTCTGTCTTTCTACCCATTGTATACAGAAGACCCTAAAGCTGTTTTTTTATACTTTTTTTTTTAAAGGGTCAGTACAAAAAAGCAATTAGCAGCCTACATCACTTGGCAGCTCTTCAGGGATCTCACTCTCCACAGCAAATTACAGGCCAAGGATCACTAGAAAATCAGAGAGCTCTAATCCAGTTAGCAACATGCCACTTTGCCCTCGGAGAATATCGGGTATGTACAGCCTTCCACACAGTGGTCCCTCATCAGCTGGCCCTGTGCTTCCCATTTGTCTTCTTCCTTCAAATGTTCCCCTTAGTCTGCTTTCAATATGGTGTGAAACATAAGCCAGGGTCTACTGAAAAGTCCATGCTTCACAGGGAGAAGAACTGCACTTCTGGCGCATTAACCGACTGTCCATTAACATCCGTTATCTAGCCTATTTGGTAGTTACAATTTGAGGGGATAGTTATGACTTTTCCATAGCTGCAAGTGTTTGAGTTGTCTGTAAATGTAACCTTGAATTTGAATTTCTTAACTTTACTGAAACTGTTTTAAATATTGAGGGGAAATTCTTAGTTATGGGGTTCAAGTCAAGGCAGGGGAAAGAAAAGATTTATGGGAAAGAAACTTCTGTAATCACCTTGGAAAAAGATTACTTATCAACTGACAGTATAAGAGACTCTAGAACAGTATTATCTGGCCTGACCTCTGAACTGGCCTTATCTTTGCAGTACATGTTTTGTGGGTTTATTACAGGGGTGCATGGTGGTCTGAGGCCAGGCGGTGTCAGCACTAATAATAAAGACTGGGTCTCTCGGGATCTAACGTCATCCTACTAGTACTGCTGGACAAGTCTTTTTGCCCCTTCCACTTTACTTTTTCATTGGAAATGTGGTAAAATATCCCCACAGACCTCTTACTGGCTCTAGGAAATAGCATTAAAAATTCCTTGCATTTCTGTCATGCTGTCAGATTACTGTATTCCTTTGTATTTTTACCATGGACAGAACAAACTTAAAAACTATCCTAAGAATTAATTTAAAAATGTAATCCTTCAAAATAAAATAATTTTTGATTGTAGTTGTATTGATCTTACACTCTTGAAATGAAGAATGCCAATACATATTTTTTCACAATTAAGATGACTTATGTAGGGTCTCAGAGGCTTTTTAATGACAAGTACATCTTTTTGCTCAGCCAAACTGAGTTATGCATTAAGTCCACCGAAGAGAGTTTTGTAATTGTTTTTTTTCCTTTTGCAGTGTCTGAAATTTTTAATCATTATTAACATATCTGAATTTTAAGAACTGTAATTTAGACTTGGCATTATCATGGCTCTCTTCTTTTTACAGCAAACATGTGAAAAAGTGCTTGACCTCATGTGCTGTATTTTACTTCCAATACAAGAAGGAGGGAAAGTACAAGAGGAGCAACCTAAAGTGAAGTCTAAGTTCAGGAAAGGTAAACCACTACCTTAAACTCGGTGTCAGCTCAGTTGCAGCTCTCCTGTTTTGTTTGAGTATATGATTCTTCTCTTTCTGTATTAGGAAAAGGGAGGAAGTTCCTAATCTCCTCTTGGTTTTGTGAGTGGTTTTCCTGCTGGTGCCTATTAAACTATATTGGTCACAAAGCCCTATCACAGGAAAAGAGAAATGAAGAAAAAGTTTTTAAATGTGTAACTTCACATTTTGAATCATTTGTAATTTACCTTCAGAGTTTTCCTCCCTACCTGAGACTTGGGAATCGTGTATTTGTTTTGCCCCATTCTAGTTTCTTTCATACTGAGATAATCATGAGACCCTAAAAGAAGTGTGTCATAAACTGTTCTGTTGCAGGGTCTGATTTGAAGCTTTGGCCATGTACCAGTAGAGCTATCATGCCTTACTGCCTTCATCTATTGCTGGCTTGTTTCAAGGTAAGTGATAGTCAAGGCTTCAAATTCTCTCACGTCTCTAGGGCCTAGTTTAGTGTGGTGTCACTACGTGTGAATGGTTGTGCCTCACCTGCTTCTCACCTAAGTGGGTTTGTGGAGGGTCTTTTTTTGGGAGAGGAGGAAGTGTTGATGGAGCAGGGTTTGTTCTGCCTTTTTGCTCTTCGTGTTAGTTTTGGGCAGAAGAGACAGAATAAATCTCAACTATTTTTCTCTGTGTTCAGATTTCTCTTATAGGTCAGTGGAGAGAATTTGGTATTTTGGATGAAAATTTCTAGCATATTTTAAATGTATATATTAAAGCAGAATGAAATATGGTCCTGAAGAACTTGTTTTGTATTTGCACAGATGTAGGCACGACGAATCCCATATATTTATAAAAGCAACATGTGTTTCCTGATTGCCTCAATGTCAGTTTTTTCCCTGCAGCTCAGAGCTTTCACAGACAACAGAGATGATATGGCGCTGGGCCACGTAGTTGTTCTGCTTCAGCATGAGTGGCCAAGGGGTGAGAACTTGTTCCTGAAAGCCATCAACAAAATCTGCCAACAAGGAAACTTCCAGTATGAGAATTTTTTCAACTATGTCACAAGTATCCTTTCTGTTACCAAGAACGTCTTTCACATCCAAAACTAGGTGCTGGGATGCTGGAAAAGCTGTTAGAAAGATTCAGCAGAAGCTTTCCCCGTGAATCATATTCTGTGTTTATATCCATACTATGGAAGCCTCTAGTAACAGGTGGCAGTGCACAATGCACTGTAAATATGCCTCATTACCTGCTCTGGCACTTGAGAGCACCTCTAGGTACACTGCAATTGCTCTTTGATTCAGCAAAACAGCAGCAGCTTTGGCTGCTCCTGCAGGTGATAGAAGGCTTCTTAGCGAGCTGTATAGGGCATTATACAACCAGGTTGCTAACAAGGGTAAAGCAGTATCTGTGCTTCAAAGAACTGAATGATTTGGGCTATTGTTTATAAAATGCTATTGTGGTTTAGATTCTTTGGGGCGATGAACTATGTCAAAGTGCATGCAAAGATTTCTGAATTCAGTGATCTGCTGTACACTTTGATTACCACACACACGTGTGGGCAGGTTAGTGTTTAACCTAAACAGACATCCAGCCATGGTCCCCAGGCAGCAAGGGGTCTTCCCTGTCTGAAAAAGAAAAGCTAAATAAGGGACAAACCCAGACAACTAAAAGGATGGTCCGTGCCACTGTGGTGGCATTTTCCTCAGCCCCAGAGTGTATTTTGTGCTTTAGAAAGCCACTTCTCATTAATTTGTGGAGGATTAGGAATACATGCTGTGATCTTTATCACTTTTAAAGATGAGATATTTCAATAGCTGTTCATTTTGGCTGTCCTTTCAACATTGTGGCTTTAGATTTGAGGGGTAAGAAGAAATGCTCTCTACAATTTTTTTTTGCCACTCAAGTCTTTAACCTTTTCTTCAGATATTGATATGTTGGAGGAATTTGCTTATTTAAGAACACAGGAAGGAGGGAAAATTCATCTGGAACTGCTGCCAAATCAAGCAATGCTGATCAAGTAAGGATAAAAAAACATTTACTGTTTTCTTTAAAAAAGAAAAAGAGAGTATGTTCTGGTTGTCTTTGCTTTCATGTAGTCTTCTGGATAGTAAGATTGTCATGTCTTTGAGTTTAAATTTTAGGAAGTTGGCTAAGGAGTTCAAAAAAGACTGAGAGTTTCTTTTTCTGACTTTCCTGCTTATCTGTGAGTGCTTTTATGGGGCTCTTCAACTTTAAACTCCTATTTTTACATAACTATTTTTAAGCGTGGCATTTGCTTTAGAGTGATTCATATTCATTCTGTGATTCTGTTTCTACACCATGAGGGCAGTGGGATGCTGGAACAGATTGCCCAGAAAGGCTGTGGATGCACCATCCCTGGAAATGCTCAAGGCCAGGTTGGGTGGGGCTTTGAGCAACCTGATCTAGTGGGAGGTGTCCCTGCCTGTGGCAAGGGATTTGGAACGACACGATCTTTAAGGTCCCTTCCAACCCAAACCATTCTATGGTTCCGTGATATTAAAGTGGTTACAGTATTGCTCTTTCAACCAGACACACTTTGCAGGAATTCTTTAAATAATTAGGCTTGAGTGAGAGGTGGTATTAATAATTTTGCTGAATTGTAATGCTGAACAGAAAGCACTATTTATTGTAAACAAAGTTTTAAAAGAACACTGAATGATGAAAAACTTTGTTATAAAACATCAATTAAATTACACTCCAGGTAAACTCTAATAACCTTTCTGTCAGAACTAGAAGGTTATCTCTTGCTATGTACTGAACGAGCTTATTCTGCTTAGTTTATTACAAGATGCTGAAGGAAATTAATCATTTGGATTAACTTCCTAGGTGCTCTTAGTTTTGAGTCAAGACCGAACAAGTATCTGCTGCAGGATTTAGTGGCAGAATTGTTTTGGAATATCCCCATTGTTTATAAGAACTTGTGGTATTTTGCTTTGTAATAGGGGGACTGCTAAAGTTTGTTGAAATTACAGTTTGGGTCAGTGTATTCTGGCTACTCACTAACTAGAAATGGTCTAAAGTTTTTAAAAAAATGGGAGGCTAACATTAGACAACTGGGTCCAAACTTGGACTAGTAAATAGATTCTCCAGCGTTCTAGGTAACCAACAGAAAAATTAGATACTAGGCATAAGTTTTTTAAAAAGGCAAAAGAAGAAATACAGATGCTTAATTATGTGACAGAGAATTTTCTCTTTTAAGCTTTAGATTTTCAAACTCTTACCCTTGCTTGGCTGTGTACCACTTCAGGACAGGAACGACTCCATCAGAGAGCTGATGGGAGGGATTGCTCAGGGAGTAGTCCACTAAGCAGACATGATGTCTGCTCCCCTGGCATCCCAGATATTTTTTTAGCTGGACTGGCTGTGAGGCTCAGGGGTGGTGTCACCCAGCAGTGTTGACTTCAGGAGCACTGGTTAGCTCCTGGCCTCCCTCAGCTGTGGTTTTAGACGAAATGCAGCAGCACAGCCCTTTTCCCTGGGACAATGGCTGGGAGTCTCAAAATCTGCAGACTGGATTTCATCTTTCAGAAGTGTCACAGTTGCGGCTGCACGTGCTGCTGCACCATCCTCCCAGTCACGAGCAGGTGCTGTTCAGTCACGCACAGGAAGACTCCGAGTTTGCCACAGCAGCCCAAAGACAAAGCAGTTGCTCCTTCCCCTGGTCTTTGCTGAGCATAAATCCTGCATCCTAACTGATGGGAAATGCATTACAGGTGTGATGTGGGTTTTATAAGGACAGCTTTTTGTTTTGCGACTTCTATTTTCTCCCCAGGTAAATTCCACATTCTTTTTCCAGTACTTTTCCTCAGTACATTATACTTCATAGGAGATTATATTAATTTTTCTGAACCCAGGAAAGCAAACTGCAATGTGGTTTTCAAAAGCTGGTAGCCTGCAGACTTATAATCGGGTCTTGCAAAATAGACATACAGCTTGCAAGCTTTTCCTTTTGCTTGTATCTGTTGTGGGAATCTGAAGGTTTTGGTTTTAGCTAGTGATACCCCCGCTCATTGTTTGCAGCCTCAACAAGACTGCTATGATGAGCTCTGATGTCAAGCACCAAGTACGTCTGCACTCCGTTCCAGACAAGCCAGGTTTCATAGTTTGAAACATACTGATTATACGTGTCACTAGTGGCAGCATTAGGCAGTGAAGTTAGGGAGGAAAACAACAATATGCAAGAAATTACTGATTAATATTGTGCTCCCCTTTTAGATAAATCTTACTGTGTTCTATTCTTAGCCTACCAAACTGCATAAACCTGATATGAAAGCTGTTGAGTGTTTGGCCTCTACTCACATTCTCCTCACATCTCCCCTTGGGGACAGAGAAGAAGAAGCTTAGTTGATTTGAAGTCAAAGTGTCTTGAAAGTGTAATTCTTATTCTGATTGTGCACTTAGTATGTTTAGTTCTGACTGCAGATCTTGCAAACAGTAGTGAAGACACAGTAGTGCAGAATCGCTTTTGCAAACGCCTGCCACTCAACGTCCAATAACATCTTGCTGTTCCTTTGTATTTTCTGTTCCCCGTGTCCATTTTTGCAAGTACTGAACTCATTCATGCCAAGAACTCCTGAAAAATTCTCGTTTGATTGAATAAGTCTCGCAAATATTTTATTGTAGGTTATTGTAGCTGTATTGTAGAGTGTTTTTGTACTACTAAAACGTCCCATCTTTATTTGATTTTTATAAGCATAGCTCTCCATCCATATTCATTAATAAATTATAGATACTAACTGAAGTGGCCACCAGTGAGAGCTGAAGGTAGGCACCTGACTCAATATTATAGGTATGTGAGTCTTGCTTCTCTGCTCCATTCTTCACATCTGTTGGGGTGAACAGCACACTTAGTGCTTGGGTGCCTAGTAAGATTTCGGTGACATTTTGAAAGATTTAGGTTAAGAAACGAGACCCATTCTCTGTATAGCAAATCTCTCATTTCTCCTTAGGTGTGGCATTGGATTTGCTGTAGGCTGGATGTGTGGGGTTGTGACCTTGTGTTAAAGGTAGCACAGAGAGATAAGGATGTAACTTCACAGTTCAGACAAAGTGTCTTCCAGCTGAGACACCTTTTGGTGGCTAATTGACATGGCCCTGGTCATACATGGGAGGCTGCTCGTAGTGGGCATTTGTGCTCTGACATTGCTCCATCCTCTAGCAGCCATTTTTGTATGCAGTTTGGATTTGAAAGCTGAAAGAGGCCACCTGCGGGATAATGGAAAGATACTTTGGCACCCTGTAAGGAGCAGTGTCCTGCCCCCCCCGTGGCCGCCACCCCTGTGCATGCACTGGGCTTGGGCTCGGCAGCTGCAGGGAAGCTGCGGTGTTACAGCGCCCCTCTGGCTCGGCCTTTGCCCACCGACAGCGTCCTGGGAAGAGCCACGCCGAGTACAGCTGGGAATTGGTTTTGCCCCTGCCGCTGTCCTTCCTCCTGGTGTCGCTGTCCAAAGCTCCCCGTACAGGTCCGGGCCGCAGCGGCGGAACAGCCCCGCCGTGAAGCCCGGGGGTGTTTTTGCATGTTTGGTGCGGCTGAGGTCCCGCACCCCTCCGGCTGTGCTGTGGTTACCCTGCTGCCTCGTCTCACCCTAGTTTTTTGTTGCTCCTTTTTCTGGAGAGTTGTTTTGCACCAGAGGGGTGTTGGTGTGTGGGTGTTTGAATGCTGCTGTTTGCTGTTTTTTAAAGGACTTCTAGCCCT